ACTAGTGTCTGATATGTGCATTCAGTAGTAACCCACTAAACTAGCGTCCGATATGTGCATTCAGTAGTAACCCACTAAACTAGTGTCTGATATGTGCATTCAGTAGTAACCCACTAAACTAGTGTCTGATATGTGCATTCAGTAGTAACCCACTAAACTAGTGTCTGATATGTGCATTCAGTACTAACCCACTAAACTAGTGTCCGATATGTGCATTCAGCACTAACCCACTAAACTAGTGTCTGATATGTGCATTCAGTACTAACCCACTAAACTAGTGTCCGATATGTGCATTCAGTAGTAACCCACTAAACTAGCGTCCGATATGTGCATTCAGTACTAACCCACTAAACTAGTGTCTGATATGTGCATTCAGTACTAACCCACTAAACTAGCGTCTGATATGTGCATTCAGTACTAACCCACTAAACTAGCGTCCGATATGTGCATTCAGTACTAACCCACTAAACTACTGTCTGATATGTGCATTCAGTAGTAACCCACTAAACTAGTGTCCGATATGTGCATTCAGTACTAACCCACTAAACTAGTGTCCGATATGTGCATTCAGCACTAACCCACTAAACTAGTGTCCGATATGTGCATTCAGCACTAACCCACTAAACTAGTGTCCGATATGTGCATTCAGCACTAACCCACTAAACTAGTGTCCGATATGTGCATTCAGCACTAACCCACTAAACTAGTGTCCGATATGTGCATTCAGCACTAACCCACTAAACTAGTGTCCGATATGTGCATTCAGTACTAACCCACTAAACTAGTGTCCGATATGTGCATTCAGTACTAACCCACTAAACTAGTGTCCGATATGTGCATTCAGTACTAACCCACTAAACTAGTGTCCGATATGTGCATTCAGTACTAACCCACTAAACTAGTGTCCGATATGTGCATTCAGCACTAACCCACTAAACTAGTGTCTGATATGTGCATTCAGCACTAACCCACTAAACTAGTGTCTGATATGTGCATTCAGTACTAACCCACTAAACTAGTGTCCGATATGTGCATTCAGTAGTAACCCACTAAACTAGTGTCCGATATGTGCATTCAGTACTAACCCACTAAACTAGTGTCCGATATGTGCATTCAGTACTAACCCACTAAACTAGTGTCCGATATGTGCATTCGGTACTAACCCACTAAACTAGTGTCCGATATGTGCATTCGGTACTAACCCACTAAACTAGTGTCCGATATGTGCATTCAGTACTAACCCACTAAACTAGTGTCTGATATGTGCATTCAGCACTAACCCACTAAACTAGTGTCCGATATGTGCATTCAGCACTAACCCACTAAACTAGTGTCCGATATGTGCATTCAGCACTAACCCACTAAACTAGTGTCCGATATGTGCATTCAGTAGTAACCCACTAAACTAGTGTCCGATATGTGCATTCAGTACTAACCCACTAAACTAGTGTCCGATATGTGCATTCAGCACTAACCCACTAAACTAGTGTCCGATATGTGCATTCAGCACTAACCCACTAAACTAGTGTCCGATACGTGCATTCAGCACTAACCCACTAAACTAGTGTCCGATATGTGCATTCGGTACTAACCCACTAAACTAGTGTCCGATATGTGCATTCGGTACTAACCCACTAAACTAGTGTCCGATATGTGCATTCAGTACTAACCCACTAAACTAGTGTCTGATATGTGCATTCAGCACTAACCCACTAAACTAGTGTCCGATATGTGCATTCAGCACTAACCCACTAAACTAGTGTCCGATATGTGCATTCAGCACTAACCCACTAAACTAGTGTCCGATATGTGCATTCAGTAGTAACCCACTAAACTAGTGTCCGATATGTGCATTCAGTAGTAACCCACTAAACTAGTGTCCGATATGTGCATTCAGTACTAACCCACTAAACTAGTGTCCGATATGTGCATTCAGCACTAACCCACTAAACTAGTGTCCGATATGTGCATTCAGTACTAACCCACTAAACTAGTGTCCGATATGTGCATTCAGTAGTACCCCACTAAACTAGTGTCCGATATGTGCATTCAGTAGTACCCCACTAAACTAGTGTCCGATATGTGCATTCAGTACTAACCCACTAAACTAGTGTCCGATATGTGCATTCAGTACTAACCCACTAAACTAGTGTCTGATATGTGCATTCAGTACTAACCCACTAAACTAAACTAGTGTCCGATATGTGCATTCAGTACTAACCCACTAAACTAGTGTCCGATATGTGCATTCAGTAGTAACCCACTAAACTAGTGTCCGATATGTGCATTCAGTACTAACCCACTAAACTAGTGTCTGATATGTGCATTCAGTACTAACCCACTAAACTAGTGTCCGATATGTGCATTCAGTACTAACCCACTAAACTAGTGTCCGATATGTGCATTCAGTACTAACCCACTAAACTAGTGTCTGATATGTGCATTCAGTACTAACCCACTAAACTAGTGTCCGATATGTGCATTCAGTACTAACCCACTAAACTAGTGTCTGATATGTGCATTCAGTACTAACCCACTAAACTAGTGTCCGATATGTGCATTTAGTACTAACCCACTAAACTAGTGTCCGATGTGTGCATTCAGCACTAACCCACTAAACTAGTGTCCGATATGTGCATTCAGTAGTAACCCACTAAACTAGTGTCCGATATGTGCATTCAGCACTAACCCACTAAACTAGTGTCTGATATGTGCATTCAGTACTAACCCACTAAACTAGTGTCCGATATGTGCATTCAGTACTAACCCACTAAACTAGTGTCCGATATGTGCATTCAGTAGTAACCCACTAAACTAGTGTCCGATATGTGCATTCAGTACTAACCCACTAAACTAGTGTCTGATATGTGCATTCAGTACTAACCCACTAAACTAGTGTCCGATATGTGCATTCAGTACTAACCCACTAAACTAGTGTCCGATATGTGCATTCAGTACTAACCCACTAAACAAGTGTCCGATATGTGCATTCAGTAGTAACCCACTAAACTAGTGTCTGATATGTGCATTCAGCACTAACCCACTAAACTAGTGTCCGATATGTGCATTCAGTACTAACCCACTAAACTAGTGTCCGATATGTGCATTCAGTAGTAACCCACTAAACTAGTGTCCGATATGTGCATTCAGCACTAACCCACTAAACTAGTGTCTGATATGTGCATTCAGCACTAACCCACTAAACTAGTGTCTGATATGTGCATTCAGTAGTACCCCACTAAACTAGTGTCCGATATGTGCATTCAGTACTAACCCACTAAACTAGTGTCTGATATGTGCATTCAGTACTAACCCACTAAACTAGTGTCTGATATGTGCATTCAGTAGTAACCCACTAAACTAGTGTCTGATATGTGCATTCAGTACTAACCCACTAAACTAGTGTCTGATATGTGCATTCAGTAGTAACCCACTAAACTAGTGTCCGATATGCGCATTCGGTACTAACCCACTAAACTAGTGTCCGATATGTGCATTCAGTACTAACCCACTAAACTAGTGTCCGATATGTGCATTCAGTACTAACCCACTAAACTAGTGTCCGATATGTGCATTCAGCACTAACCCACTAAACTAGTGTCCGATATGTGCATTCAGTACTAACCCACTAAACTAGTGTCCGATATGTGCATTCAGTACTAACCCACTAAACTAGTGTCCGATATGTGCATTCAGTAGTACCCCACTAAACTAGTGTCCGATATGTGCATTCAGTACTAACCCACTAAACTAGTGTCCGATATGTGCATTCAGTACTAACCCACTAAACTAGCGTCTGATATGTGCATTCAGTACTAACCCACTAAACTAGTGTCTGATATGTGCATTCAGTACTAACCCACTAAACTAAACTAGTGTCCGATATGTGCATTCAGTACTAACCCACTAAACTAGTGTCCGATATGTGCATTCAGTACTAACCCACTAAACTAGCGTCTGATATGTGCATTCAGCACTAAGCCACTAAACTAGTGTCTGATATGTGCATTCAGTACTAACCCACTAAACTAAACTAGTGTCCGATATGTGCATTCAGTACTAACCCACTAAACTAGTGTCCGATATGTGCATTCAGTACTAACCCACTAAACTAGTGTCTGATATGTGCATTCAGTAGTAACCCACTAAACTAGCGTCTGATATGTGCATTCAGTACTAACCCACTTAACTAGTGTCTGATATGTGCATTCAGTACTAACCCACTAAACTTGTGTCCGATATGTGCATTCAGTAGTAACCCACTAAACTAGTGTCCGATATGTGCATTCAGCACTAACCCACTTAACTAGTGTCTGATATGTGCATTCAGTACTAACCCACTAAACTTGTGTCCGATATGTGCATTCAGTAGTAACCCACTAAACTAGTGTCCGATATGTGCATTCAGTAGTAACCCACTAAACTAGTGTCCGATATGTGCATTCAGCACTAACCCACTTAACTAGTGTCTGATATGTGCATTCAGTCCTAACCCACTAAACTTGTGTCCGATATGTGCATTCAGTACTAACCCACTAAACTAGTGTCCGATATGTGCATTCAGTACTAACCCACTAAACTAGTGTCTGATATGTGCATTCAGTACTAACCCACTAAACTAGTGTCCGATATGTGCATTCAGTACTAACCCACTAAACTAGCGTCCGATGTGTGCATTCAGTACTAACCCACTAAACTAGTGTCCGATATGTGCATTCAGTACTAACCCACTAAACTAGTGTCCGATATGTGCATTCAGTACTAACCCACTAAACTAGTGTCTGATATGTGCATTCAGTACTAACCCACTAAACTAGTGTCTGATCTGCGTGTGTTTTCAGTACTACCCCAGCAGTGCATTCAGTATTACTGTGTGTGTACTGTGTGTGTATACTGTGTGTGTTCAGTATTACCCCAGTGGTGTGTGTTCAGTACTACCCCAGCAGTGCCCGGAGTGTGTGTTCAGTACCCCAGTAGTGCCCGGAGAGTGTGTTCAGTACCTTGTCGAGCTCGTCGTGCAGCTCGGAGAGGGTGGGTCTGATGAGCTTCTCGCCCAGCGGAGCCGCGGTCTGCCGGTAGAAGTCTATGTTGGGCACGGCGTCGATGGTGTTGTGCCCGAAGGTGCGGAGGTAGTATGTGTTGGTGTGTGTGTCGTAGTGGTGGTGGTGCTGGCCGCCGCTGGAGGAGTGCAGGCTGCCCTCGCTCATCACCGTGTCCCCGTTCTGCGCGATGTCTGCCGGCGCGGCGTCCGGGCTCGAGGCCGCGAAGTTCACAACCCGAAACCGGCCCTTGGCTTCCTCGCCGCCAGCCGCTGAGTCCCGAGGCGCGTCGGATGGCGGCTCGGCGTCGTACGCGGGCGGGGATGAGTCGGAGGCGGCGTGGGTATGCCCGTTCCCGGCGGACTCGGACACCAGGTCCACCTGAAAGCGGCTCTGGCTCGGTGTGGGACCGGCGGGTTGGAGCGCGTCAGGCTCGGGCGCGGAGAGAGAGTCGCCCGGGCCGGCGAGAGGCGGAGGTGATGCCGACATGACGAGTCAGAAAAGCTTTCCAAAAGCTGATACTGTCCGTTAAAAGTGCCGAAGAGCCGATGGATGTGACTGAACGCGGACACTGATGCTGCAGGAAGACTAAAATAACGCGCCGCGCTTTCCTCCGAACCCGCAGCGCGACGCGCACATGCGGATGCAAATTGAGATCAGCAGCACTTCCAGTCAGAAACTCCTGACGAGTTAAACGCGTTCAGTGAAATATCCTCCGAGTGTGCGCTCACAGGGACCTTAAAGACCCAGAAGATGTCCGTGAATCGCGCTTTCCGTTGCTAATGTGCGCCGTGATGCTGCGCGACCTTGCCGCAACTCCTCCTCTCGTGCCCGCGAGGCTCGCTGCGCTTTATACGCGCACTGCAGCAGGGCAGCGATGCTGGGAGACATCGCGAGAGGACGAGCGCTCGCGAGATCTCCCCGCTCCATCTCTACAGATCAGGGGTGGAGACTACAGCAGGAACACACACACACACACACCGGCGATTGAGAAGGGTTTAAAAAAATAAATTTGTATTCAACTTTCATAAAAGCTTACAATGACATTTAACATCAAACATTAGACAAACAGATATTGTGGAAAACATATAACACATCTTACATTGTACAGAGTAAAACATTACATTTTACAAATATTTTTTTTCAGTATAAGAGATGTTTTTATACACTTCTTATTTCTTGTGATTGAATTCAATGAGTCATGGAATATTTTAAGATCTTTACAAAAAAATGAAAGGAGGGTGTTATAGACATTACTTTAGCTTTATGTATATGAAACTTCCCAGGAAGAATTATTAACTTTATTGTGTTATCAATTAAATCTGAGCCAGTATAACAGTCCAAGAAGAAGATCATAGCCTCATCTATTTTGATTATTTTGTAGAATGTATCAAAAACCAACATAGCTTCCAAAAGTCTTCAGAGTATTTACAATTACAAAATAAATGTATAAGAGTTTCAGATTCAAGATTACAAAAACAACATTGTGGTGAGATGTCTGTTTTAAACTTATCAAGAAATGGCTAAATGAAAACTGTTACGAACCTCAGATATTTCCCGATCGATCCAGGCATGATCAGTTAGATATAGTCAGATATAAGCCAAAGGTCTGTTCTAGATGTGCCATGTCTGCTTTAAACCATTGATTGAGTCATAAGACGATTGTATTGTGACATTAAGATGAAATATTAAAAAATTTATCTGTGTAATTTTTTAGAAAAGCCGTTATGGAGATAATTGGTTTGCTGAGAGGAGGCAGAGGTAGTTGTCACAGGTCATGAGTGACTGTAAGGTTTTGAGTCAAAAGTTCATTTACAAAAATGTTTGTTTTATCATCATATTTCTTTAACTAAATATATAGCCAGAAAAACAAGAACACACACACACTGGTTACTATATAATGACGTGAACTTTGCTGGCAGATTCCCTTTTTCCTCCGGGATAAATATGGTGATTTTACAAAGATTACAATTCAATAACTGTCATAAACGGCAAATATTCTTCCGGCCTACCATTATTATTATGTAACTGTAATGGCAACAAAACAAAAAGAACAAGTTTTCTTTTTTATCCTGCCAGCTCTCATTACTATGTTGCTCTCAGAGTTCAGTCTGTGTTAAAGGAGATACAAGATCTCAGAGGAACCGTCCACACAGAGATGAGCGTAGCAAACACCACAGTGCAACTCTCCAACTACATCTACACTTTCTGAAGTCATTCAATAGCTTTGGGAGATCCCAGCTTAAAGGGTTGGTTCACACAAAAAGGAAAATTAGCCCATGATTTACTCGCCCTCAAGCCATTCTAGGTGTGTATGTCTTTCTTCTTTCAGACGAACACAATCGGAGTTATATCAAACATGTCCTGGCTCTTCCCAGCTTTATAATGGCAGTGAATGGAGATTTTGAAGCAGAAAAAAAGTGCATCCATCCATTATAAAAGTAATCCATACGACTCCGGAGGATTAATAAAGGCCTTCTGAAGCGAAGCCATGCGTTTGTGTAAGAAAAATATCCATATTTATAACTTTAAACACTATAATCACTGGTAACGGCCGTACGTGAGTAGTTATGCGCTGGGATTTGTGAGTTAGAGTTTGCAAGAGCACGATATGAACACAACGAGGCAGTGAAAGTGGACTGGAAAGCAGGTGGGTTTACTTGTTCACCGTGATGATGTTTAATGTCCCTCTGTCGTCTCATTTAGACAACCAAGACGGGGATAACTGATCGTACAATGCAACTGGAAAATATCCTAACCCATTTCACCAACTAAACTAAATTAGTATGAAGGACTGGACGTGCTTGTTTATCTGGGGTTTGGCCTACCAAAATACATCAGCCCTCTTGCTAGAACTGTGTTATAAAATATTCATGTGTGCCCAACGCAGAAAGTTGCTGCATTAGCATGAATGCTCTGTTTAATTACTGCGGCCTGAGTTCGTTCAGCAGTGCTTCATTCATGTTTCCTCACGTGTGTCTCGTGCTCATGATAGTGTGTGCATGCTGGGCGCTCAGTGCTGTGTCTGCTGGCCTTCAGCTTTTGCTTGCTGATCTCCAGGATCTGCGTGTGACGAGCATCGCCGTGCCCTCGGGCCTGCAGCACTTCCCGTGTGACTTCTGCTTTCGTCCGTCTGAATCTGCGCTGCTCTCCAGTGTGATGTGCTGTGAAACCCTGGCTCATGTTGCAGCATGGATCTGATCGCGAGGGTTCACTTGTTTCTTAAAAAGACTTGATTCAAGTCACAATTCAAAAGTTTTCAATTCAATTCAAAAGCAATTTTTGTAAATTTAGAACAATTTATTTTGAAGTTAAACCCTTATAAAATTGACCTCAATACTTCAAAGTCGCCCTGTAGTCAATCATTTTATCCCTTAAAAACTCATCTTTGATCACCAAAATGACATATTTAAGAGTTTTTTCCTTGAAAAAAATTTCTTCATGTCTTAAAATAGCTTGAATGTAACTCGACACCCTTGCCTCATTTAGTATTCGTGCGTTCTATGAATATGCAAATGAGCCCCGCCTCCACTCACTCACTCAGCTCAGAGATCCACTGGTTGACGATCACACGTTGATCTGATTGGTTACAGGTTTGTGACGTCAGAAACACCAGCGATTTCAAACCGTGTTTTTGAGACTGTCTTTGGTTCACTGCAGTTTTAAGCAGAAAATACTCAGCAATGCTGTCGACTTATGAACTTACACATGGTGTGTCTTAAAGCATATTAAAAACACCACATAGACACATAAACAGCATTAAAAGCTGGATTTTCACCACAGGGGGACTTTGTACTATACAAATATCCTGTAAGTTTCAGAACTCAAAACTTCCTCTTAAAAAAAGCTTAAATGAAAGCGAGCTCCTAAAACATCCTGTTTCGGCTGGTTTGCTCTTTTCCTCTAAGTTCTGAAATCTGAAAATGAGTGAGTCGCATAAGAGCATTTCTGTGTCTGAAATCAACGCCTATTCCCTCATTCACTGTTCCCTCATTACTCCACTAATACTGTGGCTCACTTGAAGGAGTGAATGAAAACGAGTGAGTGAATTCAGGCACACATGGTTTGTGCTTGATGTTTAATAATCATATGAAACTCAGCAAACTGGCAGCTAGTGCTATTTAATGAACTTAATGTATACCTGTGTGAAATTACACTGTACCCTAGCAGTTGTACACTTGTTATTGTGGTGCATTGTGGGACTGAATGAGCACTCTCGATAACGTCCACGACACATGTCTGTCGCCTCAGCCGGTGCCCTGTTTAAGGGTGTAGGGGAGATTCAGACACAGCCGTGTTCTTCTCAGATGGATGGGTCAGGATCTGTCCCGTTACACACACTTGTGGTCTTGGCCACATGAGAGCATGTGCATGAAGCAAGTGTGTGTGATAAGACGGTCCCAGGTCTGAAAAATGCCACAGCTTTAAAGGGTTAGTTCACCCAAAAGCTCACCCTCAAGCCGTCCTATGACTTTCTTCTTTCAGCCAAACTCAGTTATATTAAAAAATATCCTGGATATCCTCTTCCAAGAATATCCTCTTCCAAGCTTTATAATAGCAGTGAATAGTAACATAAAAGTGCATTCCAGGGGTTAATAAAGGCCTTCTGAAGCAAAGCCATGTGTTTTTGTAAGGAAAATATCCATATTTCAAACTTTATGAACTATAATCACGGGTCAGAGGTTACTCGTCCCACGTACGGCCGTTACCGGAAGCCAGTCATCATACACTCTAAACAATGGTGGTATATAGCACCAAAAGTGGCTCATTGGCTTGTAATCATAGGGGAACCACTTTAAGAGCTATCCAATTACGGCAATCGAACTTGACCGGCGACAGCCTATGACGTCTCTACTACTGCGACCCGGAAGCATAAAAGGGGCGCCTAGAGAACATGTCATCCTCTTTTCGTCTTCAGGGACTGTCTTGTCTGATTTGCAATCACCTGAAGTGTGTGGATCCGTGTCTCAGGTGATGACACCTGATGACACACACAGCTTGTGCGTTTACTGGGCGAAGAGCACGCATGATCAGCTCTTGAGAGAGTTTTCCCTTAAGAAAACCCCGCTCTCGTCGGACCCTCTTCTCGAGGGAAGAGGGACAGGCATCTGGGCCCAGCGGTTCGGGTTCGGCTCGTGCTGAGGCACTGCGGAGACTCGGATCATGGGGTTCCCAGATGGAGCTCGCTGATGAGTTTGAGAGAGGTGTCTCTCTCTCTCGCCCGTCAGAAGCTGGCACTCAGCCCGAGAGAGCAGGAGATGGTGGATGAGGCTGAAGAAGATCCCCACCTGAACCCTCACAGCCTCCCTGCCCCGCGTAAGCAGAGCTGTTGGGTGTTATGGAGAGCGCTTCGGCGAGGCTTCAGCTGGCGTGGGAGCGCGTGAGGGAAGGGACAGCTCGTGGCAGGCTTGACGAACGGTTCCTTTCTGGCCATAATTCCCCAGCTCCCGTGAGCCTTCCATTCCTGCCCGATATACACACTGAGATCAAGAAGGCATGGAAGAACCCGTACTCAGCGCATCCATAGCCATCAGCGAGCCAACTATGCTGATGTCGAGGGGATGCGTGAACACGGGTCTGTGTCGATGCCCCAATCGACGAGACGTTTGCGAACGATCTCGCCGCCGGAGAGCCGTCGGCACTGAGAGCTCCGGCCCTGGCCACTCAAGAGGACATCCCGCTTGGGTCGAGAGCCCAACTAAAGCAAACACTGATCTCCATAATGCTGACTTCAAACTGTATTATTTTCAATAGAACATCAACACTTGACTCATTGACTCAGCAACTTGACTTATTACAAACCAGTTTGACTTTATTTCCCTCATACAGAACTTATTGATGAGAATTAACAGAGGTACCTTCT